TCTGTCTATCTGTCTGTCTATCTATCGATCTATCGATCGATTGATCTATCTATCTAGCTAGCTGTTTATCTATCTGTATGTATGTATATACCATGTGTCGTGAAGGCTTGTGCTGCAGTAGTTGTGCTTGAACTTCCGGTGTGATATGCGGGCTAGGCTATCGATACCCTACGGCTGCTACCAAGACTACGATTCATCACTTTACTAGTCGCATTACTGTTCTTGATTTCACATGAGTACAGCAAACCCTAAACCCTAAACCCTGAACCCCTAAACCCTAAACCCTTAACCCTTAACCCTTAAGCCCTAACCGTACAAACCCTGAGCCCGGAAATCCTGACCCCAAAACCCTAAACCCTTAAATCCTGAGCGCGAACCCTAAACCCTAAACTCTCCAAGCCTAAGGCCAAAACGGTCCAAGCAACTGAGGCTCAACATCGGAACCTCCTGACAGAACCCTCAAAGGAGCCTGAAAAGGAACCCAAAACTTAAGCCTCAACTCAATACCCGAAATTAGCACCCCTCAAAGGAACCCTAAATGTAAACCCTCCATTCAAAAAGCCCTAAAATTAGGAACCCTCAACGGAACCCTCAAAGGAACCCTAACCCTCAACCTCAATTCAATAACCTTGAAAGTAGCAATTGAAAACCCTAAACCCTAAACCCAAACCCTATTGAGGCATGGTCAACGGCTACGTAAACGGCCACGGGTCCGCCTCGCAGGAGGCGCTTTGGCTGGGCTTTTGGATTTCAATTCTTCGGGGTTTACCTCATACGGTTCAGGCTTTAGGGTTCAGTGTTTAGGGTTCAGGGTTTAGGGTTTAGGGTTTAGGGCTCAGGGTTTAGAGTTCAGCGTGTAGTGTTCAGTGTTTAGGGTTTAGGGTTCAGGATTTAGGGTTTGCGGTTTACGGGTTTGGGGTTTAGGGGATGTTGGGGTTGTTTTCCTTGAAGGGTTCCTCAAGATTGGGTTTGGGGGACTTAGTAAGTAGGTAAGAAGGGTTGCCTTATGTAAGGGATTCCTTCAAAAGGCCATGAGGGCTGCTACAAGGGTCTAGAACTTGGGGTAGTAAGTAGATTTATTAACTACCCGAGAAGGGATCGTAAACGGGGTTCTCATACTTATAACCCTATATAATTACTATAATTACTACTTATGTACGAAGAGTCCCCAGCCTAGGGTTTGAGGCTTAGGTTAAATTACCCAAAACCTTACCGCTTGGGTGCTTGGACTCTTAGGACCTTCCCCCTCCCCCCAAGCAAGGGTTCAGGGTCTTGGGCTAGGGTTTAGGGGGCGCTATCTTCAAGATAGTGTCGAGTTGCAAAGTTGGCACTGCGGCCTAAAGGCTTTCAAACTCTGTACTTTTGACAGGCTATGGATTTTGGAAGGGATGTGGTGGTTCTGGGTTTAGGCGTTGTGCCAAAGCAGCTAAGACGATACATGCACCAAGGTCCCCCCCCCCCCCGAATCAGTGAGCATCGCCCAAAGGCCAAACCCCAAACCTACGGGAAGACCCAAATCCCCAGTACCCCTAAGCCCAAAACCGAAAGCCTGTAAAATCTTAAGCGCCGCAAAACCTAACCCTAGATCTCAACGAACCGATTGCTGATGAGAGCAGTGCTTCATGGCACCTTCAGGAACGGGAAAATCAGATTTCCTGCTTTTTGGTATAGGTCGTGCAGGATTTTGGTCGACCAGGCTTGAGTACGCCATTTAAAGCCTGAGAGCCCCAAAGCTTAAAGCCCCCCGCGAGCTGGATGCCCGACCTTACCCTGGTGTACCATACCTAACCTGTCTACTGTTCTAGAGCCACCAAAAAACCGCAAAGTAGGATGTATAGGGCAAGCTTGCCCTAGATAAATGTAGTTCTGGTCCCTAAACCCTGCAGCCTAAACCCGAACCATGCGCAATTTCCAGGTCTCACTCTCCAGTTCCACGGTTAAAAGGTTTAGGGTTTAGGGCCTTGGGAGTTGGTTTGGGGTTAGGAAACCAAACTAAACCCTAAACCATCCTGAACCGTAAAGCCCATAGCCTAAAACCTGAGGACTTGAACGGCATGTAAACCATGTAGTTTAAAGGTTGGAATAGCTATTACTCGTATCCCCTGATAGTCCCTTTTTTTTATCATGAAACATACCCACCGAAAGCCTCATTGTAGTCTTCCAGGCTCCTAGATTGAAGCCCTGAGCAGGTCAGGAATCTCCTCTCCACCAACACCCCTGGTGAGTCGAATTGGCAGTAGCCTGGCGAAGTAGGCACCGATTCCATGAATCTGTGGGCTTGGAGTCTAGGATTGTGTGCGGGCCTTCCAGGACGCCCCAAGTACCCTTTAATAGAGCTCGTATGGTCCTGTAATAGTGGGTTATATTAGAGGGTAGTTGGGGGTCTTGGTCATTGGCAGGGACTTTTGCTTCGGTGCTGAGGACGTTTGGTTTGAACAGGGTGGGAGTTGCTGCTGTTGCACAAACTCCTGCCTCATGTACGATGTCCCATATTCCATGACTGCCAGAATGTACGGTTCTTAGGGTACTGCAGGATAGTGTCGAGAAGCGGTTTTATTATGTTTGTTGATGCTATTGGTAGTCTGCGATGCCGGCGACGCAGGTGAGTCTTGTCATACTGACGGGTATCGCACGTGCAGTTGCCGTTGGGCTAATGGTTCATGATGGTAAGCATGGTGATGGTGATGGGTGATGGGGCTTATGAGTGATGGTTGTGATGCTTCTCTGTTTCCGATTGTTGATGTCCGCACCATGGTTTCACAAGCAAAAATGAGTGATGGTGTTGCTATCAGTCGTCGCTTCTAGTGTTGCCGAGGTAAACGGTTCGAAGCTGGTTGTTTTCATAAGTGGTCTTCAAGCGTTCTCCTGCTCTTATGAAGTAGCTGACGGTGAAGAGAGGGTACGACTGCAACCACGACCCTCCGCAACCAGCGCTGCCACCGCTACCATGTCTTCTTCCACTCAATAATACACCAGCTGGTGCTGATGTTATCACGTTTACAGCCCCCCCCCCCATCTTTCGAATTGCTCTGTTTGTCAAATCACAATCTTCATTACGCCATAAACAAAGACGTCTGACATCCCATGGCCTGCAGAACCGCCATCATTCTCATCACCAGCGCCACCAACATCAGGTGTATCAGTGCAGCGAGTCATATTCACAGATACGGAGTATTGACAATAATAGTCGACATCATCGTGAACAATGGCAGCAACATCGCCATCAGATAGTCAAAAGTGCTAGCCAGCCAGCCTGCCAGCCAGCCAAACAAGCAAGCTACCGACCAAGCGATCAAGCATTCATGTCATGTTTCAATCGCCAACAGCTTTGCCAGCCGTGCCGATTCTGAGTTTTGTTCTCTTTTCCTCCTTGCACTTTAGTGGGGCTTTTTGAGCTTCTCGGCTGGAAATCGGTGCATATCAAAAATAGCTAGAAGATCCGCTCTTCCGTGCCCTTATACGGCCCTTCAAGCTTCAGGGCTCAGATTGTAGCGACGAGGGTTTAGGGTTTAGGACAGTTTAGGCTTTTTGGTTTGGAGTTGAGGGTTTGTAGGATTTCTGGCTATGCCGGGTGACTGCCTTCTTAATGCGTAAACCCTCCCTCGGATCTTCCTTGAACATCATAATTCAGACTCCGGGATTGTTGATCTTTTCTACAATGCGCCCGTGGTACGAACAACCTTTCCGGGCTTATATCTATGGAGGCATTCAGTTACAAGATTACTTGTCATCCAGCGTTTCAGGCATGTTGGAGGTTTCGGTCTCTGGGGCATGTCCTGACATTCCGGGGTCGCTGGGAAGAGATGGTTTAGGGTTCAGGGTTTAGGGTTAAAGTTTACGTCTTGCTGCATTCCCATTATCTGAATGGGCCCAAGGGCACAGGAGCGGGTCGTGCGGTGACCGCGTCTCATTTCAAGAGCTGTTGCCGCTGCACATGACGAGCTGCGACATGAGACGAAGAGCTTCCCCCGAAACCCTAAACCCATGAACCATAACCCCTCAACCCTACACTAATTAAACCCTGAACAAAAACCTAAGCCCTAAACCTTAAACCCTAAAAGCCTATAAACTCCAGACCCGAAGCCGTACACCCTAAGCCGTATGGTTTCGTGTCGACTTTTGGGAATGTAGGGGCTCCAGCAGTTTGTTTGATGCTTGTAGGGTTTAGGGTTTAAAGTGTTTAGGGTTTAGGGTTCATTAGGGTTTAGGGTTTAGGGTTCAAAGTGTTCAGGGTTTAGGGTTCATTAGGGTTAAGGGTTTATGGTTTCAGTTTTAGTACAATTATTGACATTCACATTATGCAGGCCCCCCGCCCCAGCTGTGAATGCAGGCTGGCATGCAAAGCCCCTAGCCGGCAAAGGCCCTCGATCATAAACACACAGCGCCGGACTAGTAGGTGCAGGGTTCACGGCTTCAGGGCTTAAGAGTTTAAGGTTAGGGGCTTGCAGGCAGAAGTGGATCGAAGATGCAAACCTTCGCTCTAATGTCTCAGTTCTCTGCGGTTGAAGATTCGATTGGCAGGTGCGGGACGATGCCAACGGCTGGTTTAGGATTTCGGGTTCATTTAACTTAGCATAAGTTGTTTCACCGGGCACATCATCTCGCAGTTGTTGCAGGTTGTCTAGTATTCCATGGATGCATACCTGCATGTCAGAGTTGTGCCACTGTGCCCTTGTTTGTTGGTAATGGCAGAAACTGGAAGATGGGTGCCCAGAGGCAAGGTTTGCATGTATGTTTGGGGTTTTACGGTTCAGTGTTGAGGGTTTTAGCGTACATGTCTGGTATACCCGAAGTTCTGTTTCGAACGCATCCTTCGACGTGTTAACCATCCGGGACTAGCAACCTAGAACCCCCGGAACCGCTACCCCAAAACGTCATACTGCCAAACTGTACTTGAAGGTTGTTAAATTGGCGGGTGTAGTGACATGAAAGAAGAGTCTTGGGTTTGAACTTGACAACACTTCGAAAGGTTACGCTATGAACTCCATGGGTAGAAGTACCTGACGTGGGCAGGGTTTAGGACCACTGCAAACCCTCAACCCTGAACCCCAAGGGTTTAGAGTTTAGGACCACGGTTTAGAATTTAGCTGTGATGTGGGCCTGTGGCCCTCCCTATAACTTTTTGAACACCCGTGACATTTCAAGTTGACTCGTTGCTGGCAGTGCTAGTACCGCTGTGGTGCAGGGTCCCGTGCCTGCTTTTGGTGGCCATTTATCGATGAAGAACGCTGAAGTAGCCGGGAGGGGTAGCACCTTAACACGACTTGTACTACGCATACTACCCATAGGCTTCATAGTAGTTCCTTTTTGGGTCCTAAATACAAACCACAAAAAGGAGCTACTTTACGGCCTATGGGTACTTACATCTTGAATCCATGCCCCTAAACCCGAAACCCTTGCGAATCAACTCACTCTGAAACCCACGGGCTCCATAGTACTTCCTTTTTCTGGTTTAGACTTGACTCTGTGGGCAGGAAATCAGTGGTCATGTGAGTGTAAGATAGGCACTTGCACGAGCAACAGTCGTTGCAGTTGTATCGAGAGCAGCTGCAACCTTGAGTTAAGGCCTAAGCCACAACCTCTGTCTTTGACGGTGAACTTTGCTTTGAGGCCCCAACCCTAAACCCTATACACCCTAAACCGTAAACCCTAAACCCTAAACCCTAAACCCAACCCAGCACTTCAAGCTTCACCTCCAAGACAGACTGGTAAACTTTCAACCAACTCTCACAATACATACTGATAAGCTCCCATCGAAAGTTCGATCAAGACAAGACAACCCTGAAAAATCCGAAGTCCTACAGCCGAATCCTTAAGCAAACTGGTAGCCCCCATCCGGCGCGTTTCAGAGGCGCCCATACCGGGGCCAGGTCGGAAAATGTCAAGGCTTCAGAAGGATGGATGCCGACTTCGAGCTCTCGTCAGGTTTTGGAGGTTAAGGGTTTAGGGTTTAGGGTTTAGGTTCCTAAAACCTAAACCCTAAACCCTAACCATAACCTAGTTGTTAATTTATGGGGCCCCTAACAAGATGAGGTTCAGGTAAGTATAGGGTTCAGGGGTTTAGAGCTCCCTCCTTCTCAAGCTTTGCGCCAGCTGTTCCATACCAACATGGCTGAGTGTTTATTCGGCGTTCGAGCTTCTCTTCGCTTAGGGAATAATTCTGCTCCAAAGGTTTGCGGTTCAGTGGTTTAGTGGTTCAGGCTTTTGGGCTTTGGGTTTAGGGTTTAGTGGTTCAGGGTTTCAGTGGTCATCTACTAGCCCAACTGCCTTAAAACAGGCCCTTATTCTTACCAGCACTATTTTGGCGGTTCCTTATTATCATTATAGTATAACTGTATTACTTTGTGGGCTCCTTACTTTGACTATCGTAGAATGGGCTCCAACAGCCTAGTTTAATTATTCAACCCTAAGCCCTAAACCCTAAACACTAAACCCTAAACCCAAAGCCCCTACATTACTTTCAGTCATGTTGGCCTTAGAGCTGGCCATCACCCTTGCGTGTGGGGCGGTGCCCACTGCTCAACCCAACAGACCACATGAGTAGTTTTCTAAATTAGGATCCCTTTTTGGGTTCATATTGGGGACCTAAAAAGGGACCCTAATTTAGATAACTAGCCACATGCCTGAACCCCAGATGTTGAGAGTTTAGGGTTTAGGGTTTAAGGGTTTAAGGTTTAGGGGTTTAAGGTTTAGGGTTGAGGGTTTAGGAGTTTAAGTTTTAGGGGTGTAAGGTTTAGGGTTTAGTGTTTGATCGCCACCCTACATACTTTGGCCCCAAGGTCTTTGCCTTGGGACTAGTTCAGGCCAAAGTATATATGACTTGGGTATATTTGCGCATATTTTTTCCTTGGTAACTTTGGGGTTTGTCTAGGGCTCCACCGATCGATGTTATACGTCTCTGGGCTCAAAGACCATGCCATCTGTGGCTTTAGGGCTTGAGCCTCAGGCTTTGATGTGTTACTCCAGTGTTCACACCGCAGGCTTCGTGAGCATTTCTTCTAGTGTAGTTCCAGTATATGACTGAACTATGCACGTATTGGACTGTCCACAGTTCGTAACCTTTTTCACCATCAGAACGCTTCTACTCTCATATAGTCTTAAACTGTAGGCAAATACATGCCGATGCAACGATTGTCATCATGGACTACTAAACGGTCCCCTACCAGTCTTTCTCTTTTGCAGGTGTCATAGGATCATCGGCTTCTGGCCAGGTTTGCTACTTGTCATCGCTTTTCGAGTT